GAAAGGTACCTCCCTCAGGTGATTAACCCCATCTAAGACATATAGCAAAACATGAGGGATGAGTTACTGCTGAATATGTCTTTTACTCACTTATTAACTGTTGAGGAAGTCTAGCTACTAGACGACTTAGTCTGTAGCTCTAAAGGCAAAGGAAGGGTTTGGCCACAGTATTGCCAGACCTGGAAGGCCCATCTGCTCTGAGCCTCACACAAGAGGCTGGAAAGGTGAAATAGAATTCTATTATGTGAATAGAATTTTATTGTGAAATAAAAACTGAATCCAAACCCTTTTAAGAGAATTGCCAATCCCTTCCAAGAGAATCTTCCAGGTGTGTTCAGAACTACATGAAACAGAACAGCTTGCTGTTTGCATCATTGTCTTCATAAGGCTTTGCTAGGACAGAAATGTGCTCCTAGCACATGAATCAGCTGTTTGTTTAAGAACCCATGAGCACATCTGATTATACTCTTTATAGATATAGACAGGAGAGGGATAAACACACATGAACAAATATACTTGATGCTTTTATAAAAGCACAATGCACAAAGCTAAAGGGGAAAATCTCAACCCTTAAACTGTCTGGCAGAGGGTTAAAAAAAATCAGAAAGAGTTCTTCATCCCTATTCATGACAGGTGGGATATGGATGGCCACAGTTCTGTGACAAAAAAGGTAGAACTGTTGCCCAAAGCCTGCCTTGGCTGAGTGGTAAACATGATGGAGCCAATCTTAAAGGCATTTGTAGTATGGTAAAGGAAAATGCAGAGCAAATGATAAAAAAATGGAAGTTATGAAGTAGAAGTAGTTGGGTGAGAAAAATTAAGAAGCAACATAGCTCTCTCACTAGAAGCACTGTATATGCATGACTTTAGAATAAACAGGGTAATTTAAGAAAAAAACCCTTAACAATGGCACAGACCTGATGGTGTATGAAGATGGAAAAATTTAGAAGACCAGTTAGAAATATTTCAAAACACTTCAGTTCCTTTTAGGGGTGATGAAGAAAGAGACAGAACAAAGTATTTATACTGTGGTGAAATATTTTACAGCCTGTAAGTAACTGAAATTCTAGAAAACATCTGCTAGAAAAATGTAAGCCATATTTTATACCCATATATATTAAAGTATCTTGTCAAAGATATATCTAATTAATTGCAAAATGGGTGAAACTTCAAAACACCGGAAAAGTCCTAATATAGTGTCTTTATTACAAAAAAACACCCAAACAACCATAATTAAACAGAGTGACTCAAATAACTATGTTACCATGGGCTGGTAGATCACCATTACCCCCAGTTAAAAGATTAATGGAATGCCACTCAGTATGGCATCCAGCAAAAGAATGTGAGCATAATAAATGCTCCTCTAATAATTTAATGTTTATTTTATGGAAAGCAGGCCTAGTTGAAAAAAAACAGCTAATTTAATTCTTTGATAAAACTTTGAGCTTTTTTCAGCAAAGATATTTGCTTAGAAACAACTTCACTTTGCACTGCACAGCCTTCCAGCTAAAAAGTTAGCACTGCATAACATCTATAACAAACATACTGAATGGATTAGGAATGTGATAACTAACAGATGTCAAAAACACGTTGTTAGGAGAAATAATTGCAAAGCAGAAGTGTTTCTAGTTTAGATCTGCAAGACTCACTGTTTTATCCATTGCTAGTCAATGGCTTTAGCAGTCATCTGGAAGTAAACACAAAATCACTCTTGAAAAAAAACGTGCACTAACAGACTATTAGAGGTGGTCAGTCAGTTCACTCATTTGGTTTCTGTAGTCAGAGCTGGGAGAATTTAATACAGCCAAGTTGTAAGTTATATCTCCAGGATTAAGGAATATAAGCTGTCCTGTAGAAAGGACAAATGAATCCTGGAAAGCTATGACTAAAAGGAACTGAGTCTTGGTAACTAATGCATTCAGTTACGAGCTTCAAACTTGACGTTGCAGCAAAATGGGATGTTCTTGGATACAGAAACAGGAATGTGAGTTTACCTTCTAGAAACATGAGAGGTGAGAACAATATCAGAAATCTTTGCCCAGCTATGACTTTCATATTTGAAAAGGGATTTTGTAAAGTGGAATGGAAACAAAATCTTCAAAAATAAAGATGAGATGACGAGTTCAAGACATCAATATGATTAACCCGCTGAAATAAAGACGTGACAATAGTCTTGACTTTCATGTAGTACCTTTTAAGTACCTTCATGAAAGAAAAAATATATTAAAATTATTCTCCATTTTTTATTAAGCCATTTATTATTTAACCATTAATTTAGTAGAAAAAGTTAGAGCATCTTGAAGAATTGCATGGATGACGATTCCACTTTTTACAGCACTTCATCACCCTCACTGCAAGCACTTGATTCTTAGTATGTACTCAGAATTTCCCTTTCTGTCACTGCTATCTATTCCCTCCTTTCTTTCTCAGTGCGCTTCCAACTGGAGTCTGGCTGTATCACTGGGTAATAACAACACATAAGGTCATTGGCAGCAGCTAAGTATGATCTTGCCTGGTTTTTGGGCAGAAGCTCCACTGAATTCATTTAGTTTTTCACAGACTATAGTTTAATGATTGGAACAAACTAGTGAGCTAAGTGGCACACTTCCTGTCTCACCTACTAACCTGCAGATCCCTTTCTTGAAGGGTACATGCCCCGTGTAAGAGTTAGGCTTTGGAACACAAGGTATTTGACCTGTCTGAGAAGGACTGAATGAAATACAGTGGGATGTAACATGTAAGAGATTAACAGATTCTCATGGGCTTTGGTTTTATGCACTTGTAGGGATTTGTTGGGTGAAGCTGATACAGGAAATAAACCAAACCACACAAAAAAATCCAAGTGTTACAGCACTTATGGAGTTATGATAACATGAAATATAATACCTGAATAGTTTGATTCCTTGGTATGGCTCTCCTCATCTAATGAAATCAACCTTAATTTGAAAGAATAAGAAAAAAAATTGGAAAAATAATTATAAGGCTCTAAAATAACAATACATTTCCATCTTTTTGGTCAAATCATTACAGATTCATATAATTAACAAATAAACAGTAATAACAGATGGACTCTTGCATTTGCTGGTCAGTTGTTACCTTTTATTGTTTCACTGGCAGTTCTATTAGAAATGAAAATTAGATTGAACTAGCAAATCCTATCAACTTCCATTATTAGTCTGACTTAATCTCTACTGAAAAGTATTGTGTATTCTGCATTTCCACATTTGGTCTTTCCAGCTATCATGAAGAAGCTACAACTGTTCCTCAGCCCCCTTCCCCTCCTTCTCCCCAAGAATGGAACCAACCACTTTGTGTCTCTCTTTTTAACAGCAATTAATTAAAAATCAAGAGTCAGGACAGTTTTGCCCCACATCAGCAGATTTGTAAAATAACAGATATAGCAGTGTTGATGAAAAAAATCTCTCAACAGGGTAAAAAGGTGTAGTTTACATGCAATTCTTATACAAAGGTGATCTCTTCAATGAAGAATACATAGCTTCAAACTGCTATTACTTTGTGTAAAGCCATTCAAGGAGTAGGGACTGAAGCAGCCACAGGGCTGGAGGTGGAAAGGACTGTGTGGGTGCATTCCTCCTATCCTCTAGTGATGGGACAGAAAAAGACACCTCCCCAGCTCTTGGGGGTAGGCCTGTGGTAGAGGAAAATTAGATTCAAATTCTAGTATAATGAATGTTTACTGTGAATGGAAAGTTCATGAGGATTTAAAAAGCTTTGTCTTGTGTAATTCTTCTCGAATCTTAGATGTTTGTTTATGGTTTTAGGCAGCAAAAGGGTGACATATTTTTTCCCTCACTTTTATGCCAGACAAGGACAAGGATAAACCATAAATAAACAGAAGTACAACCATGACATGGCATCTGATGCATTTCCTGGTAGGTGCCAACGCACACATCTTGCATAAATCACACATTCATCCTAGAACTTTATATTCAACACTGAGGAGAGAGCTATTTATTAAACTCTATTACTGTCACATGAGAGGCAACAGATGGAAGTAAGTGCTGTGGAGACAACCACCTACCAAATAGTACTTGGTCAAGTCGTTTCTAATATCAACAGCAACAAATCTGACCAATTTATAAAGTGGTAAAGGTCAGTGGTTCTGAATCTGAACCAGAAAAATGACTGAAAACCTGAACTCCTTAAAAATTATTACAAACAGCTAAGCAAAATCCACTCATCAGTCAAGCTGTTCTCTGCTTTTTGACAACTGATCCTTTGCTGGGTGCTTCATTTAAGCAGGGACAGTCAAAACAACAGGTGGCAGCAGGATTATATCAACATTGTATCTCCTGGCAACCAAATCCTGACGGTCAGGTAGGGAAGGGATCGCATCTCTTTCTCCTGTTCTCCTCTCCCCATAGCAGTCCATTCATAAGTCCTTCTCTGCTCAGAGCTACAGGTAACTCAAAACTTGACAGCATCAGCTCACTTAGATGTACTTTATACTAAGTACCTATTGCTTCATTGGATTACTAACTGATGCTGTATACATTACAAAAACTAATTGCTGCTCGGAGCAATCAGTAATCTATATCCTTTTTCCAGGTGAAAGGAGACGCTGCTGAAAGGAGAAATACAATGCTCATATATCTTCTCCTATGTATAGCTGTTTACCATTTCTTTTAATAAAGAAAAAAATGAAGCAAAAGCTGAAAAGAAATAAAAAGACAACTAGGAAAGATGAAAAACACATAAGGGTTTCATGGGCCTTTTTAAAGCTCTTAATTTCACAATAAAGTTTATTAGCTTTCATGTACACATTACAAGATTTCAGGAATCTTTGTATTGAGGTAACCAGTAGAATTAGACTAGCTGTCTCTGTATCTCTACTCTCTCTAGCAATCAGGAAGCAGATTATAGACAAAATACTTATTATTTTGATATACAGGACATGTGACTTACTGACTCTGCTGATCTTCTGCTGAATTGGTGCTCCCAATCTGCTGGTCGTCCTTTTCTGCTTTTTCTGTTAGTTTATTCACAGGATCTTGCAAGCTCTAGATCATAACCGTAATATAAATGTAAAGAAGAAAACAAATTAGAGTCAGGGAAGTGTGTCATTTGAGACCAAACCTGATTATAGAACCAAAAAAAATGCAAAAGCAAAAATGGTTTTACACTACATCAAAATTGTATCTGACTCAAACAAGCAGAATTAAAAGTGTTAGAAGATACTCATTCAAATTGAGTCTATGAACACACTTTATATAAGAAGGTAACACATGGCAACTTCTAAACTCATGTTCTGTTTCTAATATTTCTAAACAATTATTTCTAGGTAAATATTTCCAATATTTCTAAGTAAATCTATCTATACCATGTGCAAAGCAGGCACAGATGGCATGTTACTTTGCTGCTTTGGGGATTTGCTTTCTTTTTTCCTCCTTATTTTCCCTTTTTTAAGATGAGAAAAATGAATTCTTTACATCTGTTTGTTCATCATATACTGCTTCTTTTCTTATTTGTTCTCTTTTTTTCCCCTACACAATTATTTACACAAACTTGGCAACTGCAGTGGTAGTTGAATGATGCTGCCTGTATCCTGAATATCAAAACAAGGTTTAAAACGTTGGATGATGGTTTGATGAAGGCCGGGTGTGGTATTATGAAATAATACCTACCACTACTGTCCCCCTTTGTACTCTGAAAGGCTCCAAGATAATGACATGCAGTTTCATGGACAGCATTTTTATAACCAAAATTTGGAGATGAGCACAAGCCAACACAAGCATTATAGACTGACTTTTAAGTGATAAATACACTAATGGCTGTCACTCTCATGCATTCATTAGAAATTTTGATTAAAAAAATTAAATAAAAGAACACAGTAATTAAGTAAAGCAGATATTAAAAATGTAAGTATTTCTATCACTATGAAATGGTTTCACTGTGAAGGTGAAAAAAATTTCCTCTAAAGTCCAGCTCAGTTTCTGAAAAATTAAACCATGTTACATGTAAATAGTCTTGACCATCTGTAATTATAAATTTATTAATGTTGCCCTGATAGTCAGAGTAGTGCATCTCGCCCCAACTGCTCCCCATGCCTGCCTGCCCCCGAAAAAGCTAGGGGTAAAACAGAGAAGTCACCTTCCATACAAAACCTAAAACCCACAAAAATGTAGTGGATTTGCGTCTGGAATTTGAATAAAACAGGAATGTATTTAATGAAAAAAGTAAAACAAAAAATCAAGGCCTAATTGACTGAATCAAAGTTAGGGTGCCCAGGCAATTTGTCACAATAAAAGCATTCCCAGACACATTACGTGTCTTTTTTTGCAATGCCGTGTTAACCAGGACAGAGGAGTCCCCAGAAGGAGCATTCCACTTTCTGCTTGGTTCAGTATTTGTCTGTATGAGAAATCTACACTTCAGTATTTTAGAAACTAAACTTCTAGATTTGTCATGTGCTGCAGCTGCTTTTTTTACCCCCCTCTCAATGAGCTAATTCTACATAGAACTGCTGATTAATTTGTCATAAGCAGCCTCAGCATTGCAAACATGGTCAAAAGATGAAGGTCACAAAAACAGCAATAATAAAAAAAAGCATTAAAGAAATTAACCTTATTCTGTAGTTGCCACTTTTTTGACACTGTTGTTAACAAGAATCACATGTGCACTTCTTGGATGCTGAATAAGGACACTAGCCAACTCAGCTAGATAACTTATATATGAATGTCACACTTTACCTGCATTTGTATTAGCTATTGATTAGACTGCACTTCTTGTGCTATTGAAGTTGATGGGAATTACTCCATTGACTCCAAGAAGTCCTGGACTAGAGTTCAAGAACACACAAATATCAACTATACTTCCACAAAAGTGCAGTGTAGAGAAAGAAAGCAGCTCTGCATTATGGGGGCTGTGCTGCTTTGGGCACTTGAACTACCTTGGACATCTTCAAAACAGGACACACAAACCACTGAATTAGGAGGTGATTGCTACCAAGTATAGCATCTCAGAGCTTGCTCCAAGAAGGTTTTAAAGGTTTTGGACAAAAAACTCAGAACTACTTTAACCACTGCCTAGCTATACAAATTAAAGAAAATTACTAGAAGTAAAGTCTGCGTATTGCATATTCACAAAAAACCCCCCCCAAAACCAACAGGGAAATAAGCATCCTTCTTTAAGGACCTATATTTTCAGAAGCTTCCTTTGTCAGTGTTTCAGGAAATCCATATTTGAAAGGACTATGATCAAACCACGGAAACAGCATATAGAAATGGAGCTCACAAGTACCTTGGGAAGGAAACAGCATGATAATAATGGCAGTTACTATTTCCTTTATTAGAAAAATAAACACAGCTCTGAAATACAGCTTTGATTTCAATGGCGATTATGATAAAATTGTTAAAAATTAGAAGCTGTATTTTGATGCAATAACTCCATGTAACAACTTCATTTGGACTTAAAATCAGATACCAAATAATGAAATTATTTTCCTCACCCCTGCCTCTCTCTACTCTGCATTCTGAGGTTCACTACAAACTGAGGTAACTTTCCAAAAAGATTTTTAAAAGCTAGAGAATGAAATGAAACTGTTAAACTGTTAAAAAAGCTAGCCAATCATTTTCTAAACATGAATCCACAGTAATGCGATCACTGCTGTCAGCAGGCAGAGAAATAAAACCATAATATTATCTTAATTGTTTCAGGTTGCATTAGAAGAAAGGGGAGAAGCCTCACCATCTAGAAAGTGTAGTGATTAAACAGAGTTATAACAACACAGCCTGAGTTCAAACCAAAGCGAGTACATTTCAGCTGGACATACCCCTGACTTGGCTGCTCAGAGCACACAGATGTAACTCCACAGCACTTTTCTGGCTGCTCATGTGGACTAGAATGGGTTTTGTTGTGAGCTACACCATGTAAGCAGCTTAAAGTAGGATCCTTGCATATTTAGAAACCTATCTTCCTAGCTTCTTTAACCTCTCTTTTACTACAAAAATCAGATTAAGACCTTACACACTAGCAGAGCAAGTTCACAGTCATTCATTCTGCCTGATGTATCCATCTCTAACACCAAAAGTCACCCAGTGGTATTTCACCTGCTCTCAGTACTCAGACTAAGTATCCAGGCCAACAAGAGATTCCTGCACTGTAGAGTTAACTCTGGCTCCAGATCAGGCTCCATTTCTGACTGCTTCTCACTCACTAAATTCCTTCACCTGCATCTGGGCTGCTTTCAAGTAAAGCCAAGATCATCTGGATTGCACATAAAATCTGCCCTCTGCAGTTAAATCACGGGTGTTGACATTGCACTCAGCTCACCCAACAGCTCCTCCCAAGTGCCTTGGACAACTAATGCACTCCTTGACAGAAAAAGAATCAAAGCAACACAGCTAAGGGCAGTTTCAGGAGCCAGGCATACATTCCAAGATGTCACAACATTTATGAAAAAGTTCAACAGCACAGAGGAGACAAAAACTTTAATATATTTCACTTGGGGGGAGAACTAAAGAGGAAGAGGAAAAGCAGGTTGTCTCAGAACTTCCTCCCAGACATTGATCAAGGAAAGAAATACCACACCTCCCCAAAACCCTTAGAGATGCAAAATCATAGACAGTCTTGTCTATGAGTAAAGTCATGGTCTGACAAACAGAAACAACAGGACACCAGACTACAGCAGAGGTCAGCAGTTCTTGTAGTACCTGTACAGTGTTGTAGTACCTGTTTGGACAGAGTACTCCAAGGGAATACTCCATGAAAGGAGCTCAGGCAGCAGTATTCCACTTCACACAGAAATAAATAGATGCATTGAGATTTATGCCTTTTGACTCCCTTACCAGGGCTACTACTATTTCTAAGTTAATACAAACTCTTCAAGAAGTTTGGTATTCTAGCAATTAAATTTAAAAAATGCAACTAAATATTATTTAAGTAACTAAGGCAAATAAACAGTAACAGAAACTAGAAAAAGGTATTATTCATGAAAAGTAGCCCCTGAAATAAACTTGAATTCAGTTGATATATGTTAATTTCAAGTCAATGAAACCTTAACAGCTTTACCAAAACAGCAGACCATCATCTGTAATATTAAAGCGATGGATACAGTAACAGATACTTTTACATCTCTAAACACAGAGTTGTTAGCACATTAATAATCATCTTTCATCGAGAATAAAACTCAAGAGTTAGGAAATACAGCTGCAATAGCACAATTATACTGCTCTCTGCACATAACCTGAAGCAAAGAAAGCAAATGGGCTGCTTTTCATTAAGGGAGTTTTGCAAACATCTCTAAAGACAATGTTTTCTTTCCAGAAACAATCCCAAGAGATGTTTCAGAGTTTCTTTCTTGACATAAACCTGGTACACAAATATATGTTTATAATACAAAATACAAATAGCTGTTTTCTAGTACATGGCACCTTTTAATTTTTCAGTAAAACAATCTAAGTCAAATATTAACTTGCATTAATTTCTTATTTTAAAGTAAAACATTAATCCTACATTCACATATGCTTAGTTTAATTCAGTTTAATTTGTATGAGCAAGATTTTGTCTTTCATGGTATCATAAAAGACAAAAATTATTTGCAAGAACCAAATTCAAAATTTTCATTTAAGAAAGACCCGTTTTATGGTATCAGGCAGGGAAAAAATAGTCTAAAAGAAGTAACTTCCAATGAAATGTATAAATGGACACATTGAAATATTTTATGCATATTTTAATCCAGAATATATTCTGATTTTACATTTTAGTGCATAAAGGCAACAACAGCCATGACATCTCCATTGGGTACATTTTTAGACCAAAAGTTTCTCTATCAGAAACAACACTACCTTCGATCAGCTATAGCTATGTACCATACTTCATTAAAAAATAATACTGCATAATCTCAATGTAAAATTAGTTTGCAGCTGCTTTTTAATATACAGTTACTCTGTTATAAGCATGTGATATGACTGGTAGGGATCAGTTCCCTAACCATAATCACCTATTGATATTCTACACCCAGGTGTAGCAGAGGTGAGGTGGGACTTGCCACTCCCTTCAGAAGTGACAAGCAGAACTCACTCAGCCTAGTAATGCAGCTGAAGTACCAGCAGACATCTATTCTCTTGGGCAACACAATCTCATCAGATGCAATCACCAGATTTTGATTTAATCACCTTAGCAATCATTTAATGTAAACAATCAGAAACTAATAGCTGGGGACAAGAGATTATGGAGAAGACTTTGGTATAAAAAATAACCCCCCACTCTAGAGACTGAAGGAAAAAAACCCCTGATACTAAAAGCCAGTAACACAGTCTTACTCCCAAGCAGCTGTCTTCTGAAAGCACAGAATTACATGAAATCCTGTTGTTTTAAACTATCTCCTGATTAGCACTATTTATCAGCATACATATCAGTGCAAAAATGGGAAATCACATCTTCTCAGTGCAGGAGGTGAGCAATATAATTGGTTAAGATTTTCATAACAAAGGCTGCATCCTAAACACACTTGACTATTCCCAACCATTTTTACAGTTACTTTTTGCTTCAACAGAGTGCTTGTTACATGTGTGGGTTCAATATAGATGGTATTTCTTTATCATAGATTCCCAATCTAATTTCAAATTTAAATCATGGTGAAATGTTCCACAGGAGGAAGTTCAAAAGGTACAATCCATGCCTAAACGTCTCTCATCCTCCATCACAAGGGTACACCAAAACAGGTGCATTTTCTTTCTGAGGTGTAAATGTTATTATACACCTTGAAACATGCTATGTGTTGTTCAAATAATCAAATTTTTAGATACAAAACAGCATGAAGATTAAATAACCAGCAAATACAGGCTACCTACACAAATTAGACTGAAATTGCTTTGCATCAAAGCAAAGATAAAAACATCCTCAGAAACCTTTTAACATCAGGAAGGTAAGAGAAGAGCCCACCAGCATGTGTGGCCAGAAAGACATGAAACAGAAAACCTGTATTTGAATGAATAGATAAAGCAGGGATACAAGTGTCAGAGAATGTATGGAAAAAATATCAGCATGTACTTTCTACGTCCTTGTATAATTTCTTACTGGTTATCACTGGACAAACATACATATCTATATATTCCTTACCTTTAACATAGTGAATTCATATGGCTGATAACCTTTGAAACTTTCATGGATGGCTGCCATCGTGTGTGAAGTTTTTTCCCAAAAATGAAGCAGTGTTGTCTGTAAGGCAGGGTAAAATTTCAGTGCTGATGTTTACACAAATCTGTTCTCAGTGCAAATTTCACATCTTCCCTCCAACAATAGCTACATATTCTTATGGTTGAATATTGCCATGGTAACGTCTTAAAAAGCCACATTAACAGGAAAACATTCTTTCAGAGGTCAACATTTTCCTTGGATACCTGATATGTTGTTAACACATGAGAAAGGAGGTTGCATCTGCTTGCTCCCAGAAGATCCACTTTTTGACAGACATCAGTCTTCAGTTTGTCGAAGTTGAGTTTTGCATGTCGTACTTGTGCTTGAACCTTTACACAAAGGGACAATTGTTTATGTAGTGATTTTTTTTCCTCCATTCTTAATGAAAGACCAAACTAATACAACCTCTAGGGAAATCAGACAACAGACTTAATTACAGTTTTATTTTTATCAATGCCACTGAAATTAAGATAAACTGGCTGATAAATAGTACTCTTACTATCTTCTCTATTATTGCTTTTAATAATATATTCAGTAAAGAATTTTTGTTTTCTAACCCCTCTTTTGTATGATAGATATTATTATAAAACATACATCAAGAACAATTGGAAAAGATACTTATATTGGTATCTCTTTCAAGAAAGACAAATTCAAAGCCTAACCAACAAATTTGGAGCTAAAAGTTTACTACACAATATACAGGTGCACAGTCAGAGCCATTTCCATGTACCTATAGTAAGAGACAAACTAAACTGACAAAGTTTAAAGTCTGTCTGCAATGATACAGCACTTCATTATCTTTGGACTGCTACAAAAATTTCACTCATTAAAGTTCTCCTTCTAAAACAGGAGTGCCCTTTCTGTTTACTACTATCAGAAAAATATCAGGTCCCCTTTTCCTAGGAACTAACAATTTCAGTTTCAGGGGTTTCAGTTTTTCTAACTATTTTTCTATCACCTATTAAGTACATACACATGTACATTAAGTACATATAGAACACCCTGTTCCAAAAACTGTACATGCTTGACAACCACACTGACGTGATTTGGTATCAGGGTAGAAGGCTGATGTAGGCATTTAGTATCCAGGATTTTCCATTTTTGTGACAGCTTTGCACACCACCAAAAATTATATTAATGAAAGACATTTGTTTAAATTCTGTAAACAAGTTTTGTTATAGTTTTCTTCCAATGGAATGGGAAACAGTCAAACCACAAAACATTATGAATCTCCTATAACTCTTTCATCATCAAAATAAAATATTTACCAAAACAATAAAATTTTTCACAATGAAAACAATCCATTTCATCATGAAGTAAATGACACATTTCTTTCCTTTTCTGGCCTAACTTGGAGAATAAACCCATTTTGTCCAGAATACACAAACTCAGTCAAAGATTTGTCAAACTTGTATGCTCCTGATCTTCAGAAGTGAATCTGGAACTTTGCAGCAAGTGCCTTGTGCAGTAAGAACAAATACACACATATCATAATGCAATCTGAAATGTTATGGTTGCTATACTTCTGCTTTTATTTTCCCAAACTCAGAGTATACAACCTCCAACCAGGCAGAAAACCAGCCAAAGATTTGCATCACAAATTCATCAGATGACCTACTCATACAAATTGTGGGACTCCTGGATTGCTGGACATGTGGCAACTTTGTTTCACTGATCAGTTCTGTTTAAGCAATACTGCGTATCAGCCTAATCTGTTAATAAGGAAGAAACTATTACAATTCAAAATATGTCATAAATGCAGAATATTACAGGTGAGATTTAGAAAAGGATGATGCCAAAGGAGAAAAAAAACCAAAACAAAACACTTTTTCTTCTTTTAGTAAAGAGCAGCGCTAATCAACATTTACAAAATAGCTCTGTGGTTACTGCATTCATCCAGAAAAGGAAGTCTTCCAGCATAATGCCACCAAACAGTGAACAAATCTTGAGTTCTGGTAATAACAACAACTGAAACGTCTGACTGGATCCAGTGCTCTAACCACACAAGTAAAACATCTCACTGATGACTTGCTTGTTGTCTTTGCATGTTGAAGAGTTTTTTTTTTAAAAGGTGTCTCCAGAAGATGGAAGACTTCTTAGGTAGTTAGGCGATGTTTTAGTGAGGTAGAGACAGATCTGAATTTCCTCAGGAAGGAGAAAATGGCTCCAATGGCTTCCACTTCTTAGGCAAGCACAACAAATGCTATAAGCTATGATACAAAAAGCAAGAAGCATCTACTACCAAGATATTTACTGTAAGGTATGGGATTTCATGAAAAGGCCTACACTGAGTCAGAGTTACACTAGCATGAGCTGAGGCTGCCCCTTAGTTTGGGATCCCCAAGGGCTGCTATGCTTCTAGCTTGTGCCTGATGGAGGCCCAAGCAAGGCACCATGATATCCATGCCAGGAGTGCCATCATAGACAGGCACAGCTGTCTAGTCAAAACAGCATGTGGGTAAAGAGCTCATGGACCTCCAAAACTGAGCAGCACTGGAGCAAGACAGGAGCAGTGGCAGGAGAAGTGTAGAAGCTTTACCCAGTGCTGGATAAAGACATTTGTCCAGTGTTAGGTCCTCAAATCCTTTATTTCCTTTAGCTGCAAAGTGCCTGAGAGCACAGTTACAACTTCAGTGTGAAGAAAATCATGGGGCCTGTGCAAAAAAGAACTTCTAACTGAAATCCAAATACAGGATTACACACATCTTTTTCCATAAAGAATTACTGCAATGGGTAGGGATTTAAGTAAGAGATGTTGTAGGGTTTTGAAAAAACTAATCTCAGTTACAGCTATGAAAATCCAGAGAAATTCAACTGATGTAAATGGAAAAGTGTCACAAACATAACTATATTTTACAGTGGTGCAGCTGAGAACAGAATCCCCTTCCTACTTGGTATATCACAGCACTGGTGAAAGCACAGTAAGAAGAACTGTGGCTCTGTAGACTGAAAGTCCAAGAAAGCAAGGAATGTTAGTTCTGGGGACTATAAATACTCTGCCAGAGATGGTGAGCCACAATTAAAAAAAAAAAAAAAAAAAAAAAAAAAGGTAAAAAGGTACCAAATGTAATTATGAATTCCTACTCCACCTCAAAAAAAATCCATAAAACAAAAGCACCTGTGAAGTTTGAGTTGCAGTTTTCCTGCATACATTCTTCAGAGATGTTTAGCAAAGAACAAGGTCGGCATTTATCTTAACTGAACATGTCATTAGTCTCTCTTAAAAACTAAAGCATTCATAAAGATAAAGAGGTGATCCACAACACAGTGTGGAATACAAACCCTTACCTTACGTTTATCATGCTCATACAGATGATTCAAGATATTTAATGCTGCGTTACCAAATGCTACACACTTCTCTTGCCAACCAGGAAAGATGTGATATTACAAAAACTATTAAATTAAGGATGCTTTTAGGTTTCTCTGGTATTTTGAAAGTTTACTAAGCAGAAGTATCCTTTTTTCAGCAGTAAGTGCAGGACAACCAAGGAAGAACTCCATACACTACATCAGCGTGACATTTAGCTTTTTATCTGTGCCAATAAATGCATTTTCAATTGAAATTATTATTAGACATCTTTTAAGATTACTTGTTGGCTTCAGGAATTAGGTATAAAACCTTAGTGCTTACAAAGCATAATCTACTTAATACCACACAAGTTATCAGAATGAACCTTTGGTTCTCTGCTCAAGGGAAAGCTTTTATAATACATACTAATCTTCTTCTCCTTTCTCTGCAATTACTCTCTAAGACATGAGAAACAGGACCTCATTGTGGTCTCAGTACTGAAAATTTTTATTCATATATTTAAGTTTATTAAAGCTGAACATAGAAAATTTCTTGAAAATCCTGGTCTGAAAACTGTCAGGATTTTATTGACCCAAGGAGAACCAGCTTGATCCAAACACAGCCTGAACATTTGATGATGAACAAGCTTCTAAGCATCTGAAACTACAGGTGCTAGATGTAAAATTTATATAAAATTTTTTATTATACAAGAAAATTTTACGGTACTCCTGACATAAAAAAGATCATTACTCTTTGTCTTTTTCTAAGCAGCAACCAGGACCAACTTGCTTTTAATTTGAACACCTAAGTACAATTTTCATAAAGAGCACACAAGAAAACGTAAATTTGGAAAGCAGTATCTTATTCAATCAACAGTTTGATGAACTACAAGATGCTAGACAAACCTGAAATAAATTCAAAGGACTGAAATGTTACAATCCTAAATCCCGAGGGCTCAAAAATCAGATTCTAGAATGCTTGATTGTAAGGGCAAATACTTGCTAACACAGTTTCCTAAGCAGTATCACAAAATGAATCAGGTTGGAAAGGACCACAGTGGATCCTCTGGTTCAACCTCCTGCTGTGGCAGGGCAAACCCAGAGCACACGGCACAGGATTGCGTCCAGGTTGTGAATATCTCCAGTGACAGAGAGTCCAAAACCTCTCTGGGCAACCTGTTCCAGTGCATGGTCACCTACACAGTAAAGAAGTTCTTCCTCATGTTCAGGTGGAATTTCCTGTGCATCAGTTTCTGCCTGATGCCTTTTGTCCTGTTGCTTGGCACCACTGAGAAGAGCCTGGTCCATCCTCTTGGCACCCTCCTTTCAAATACTTAGAGACATTGACAGGGTCCTTTCTCAGTCACCTCTTCCAGAGTCTGAACAGGCCCAGCTCCCTCTAGCCTTTCCTTGTAAGAGAGATGCTCCAGTCCCTAAATCACCTTTGTCACCCTCCACTGGACCCAGTCCAGGAGCTCCATGTCTCTTTTTCACTGAGGAGCCCAGAACTGGACACAGCACTCCAGGTGTGGCCTCACTAGGGCAGAGTAGAGGGGCAGGATCATCTCCCTGGACTTGCTGGCAATGCTTTGCCTACTGAGCACCAGGATACCATTGACATTCTTGGTCACAAGGGCATTGCTGGCTCATGGACAGCTTGTTATCCATCAGTACCCCCAGGTCCTTCTCCACAGAGCTGCTTTCCAGCAGGTATGCTGGAGAACTTTATTCGAACAGAAAAGTTTTAATCTTCAAGCATGCTAACATTAAAAAAAAAATAAAAAAATCCTGTGACCCAGTTAAGAAACTCTATTCAATATGTGCATTTACTAAAATACAGATTTGCCATGTACTTTCAAGGAGTCTTTATGTTGTCTACTGTACATCTGTGTTGCTACTTTCTTTCAATCTTCTATAAAATGCAAAATGTATTTTCAGTAGTAGCCTAATTTCAGGGACAATTCAGCTAGTGAAGCATCATCTCCAAAATTATGTTGGATAAATGTACTAACTCACTTTACATACAGTATATTTTTGTCTC